CAACTAAAATTGATGGTGTTGATGATGATGAAGATGGAGTAATTTTTATGTGTTTGGAAGAAGAAAGTGGTGAGATATTAGTGATGGAGGAGGAGAATTTCGGACTAGAGAGAAGGAAGAAAATGGGGGTTCCAACCTCCTTGAAGAAGAGAAGGGAGTGGATTTTATAGATAAATTCGTATATATGGAGTATATACGAACAGTTACAATTCCAGTCAATACAGCTACAGTAGCGCACATGGAAATGCAGCTGGTTGTCTTGCCGTGTCACCCGTGTTCGAAGCTTCCCACCGTTCACTGTTTTGTCATTTTTCTCTCTGGATCAATGGCCGACTTTCAGTTAAGAACATTAACCCTGTTCGCCAGTGATATGCCGAATAATCAGGTTCGGCGCGATGGTCAAAGCTCCGGTTCCACATGCCGCACGTCCAGAGTTCGAATCCCAGGGCTGTTTTATGCTTAATTTTTGTTTGATTCCTTCATTCCTTCAAGTTTCTTCCATTTATTTTGGTCCCAAACTTCCATGTTTATTTTCCGTCCTTGCAATTATCCTAAATGCATCCAAATGACCTCAAAATGCCTGCAAAACATATTAAACCAAGCATAGGACTGCTCTACCAAAATAAAACGGAAAATTGGAGCAAAATATAAGTATTAAATTCAATTGGGACTCAAAACTCCTTCAAAATATGTCTAAAAAGTGTATAAAATATGTGCATATCAACTCCCCCACACTTAGGCTTTTGCTTGTCCTCAAGCAAAATAAACTACAAATACAATCTTTACATGTGTTAGTATTTTCATACATAACTTTACAAATCACACAATCATCTCTTTTGTCCACCAAACTATCCAAAACCAATGAATTGTCACAAAATAATAAAATGAGAGTAACTTGAATAATATTGCCTATCCTAGAAACTTTCATGTTAATAGTCTAACACAAATACCTATAGTTCTAAACTAGTTAAACTAATATAAACCAAGTTTCTCCAATCCAATTATTTTAAAAATGACACAAAAAAATCAATTAGGACTTTTATTCGGCTTGTAACGGGGCTAAGGGTAAGTGGGTAAACAAAGAAAGGGTATAAAGGATAAACAAAAAGAGATAGATTATACTTATTTTGACCAGGAACTCAAAAATTATTACAAATGTAACTATGGAGCAAGGTAAACAAATGACTCGAAAATGAAAAATGACAATTATTTTACAAAGAATACAATAAATGGTACGGGCATTTTTTTTATTTAATTACTTTTTATGCCCAAGAAGAATAAAGTCTAAAAATCTAAAGAGTTCAAGATTAGTGTGCTTCTTCTTTTTTTCAACTTTTTTTTTTTGCTTTTTTTTTTACCTTTTTTTTAACTTTTTTTTTTTTTTTGAAGGCACACTAAGTTATTATTATCTTTACAAAGACAAAGAATGTACAACTTTGATACAAAAGAAAAAAAATGGCATACTCAATTATTAACAAAAATGCAGAGTGCTCCAATTATTAACTTTTTTTAAGAGTTCCTTCTCAAATAATAAGACAATCTACTCTATGGTGGAAGAATAATTTATTTTGGCAAAATAGTTTAGGATTAAATATTTACAGGGTAACAAGAAGAAAAAAATAAATAAGAGATAAGTGGTAACACTTATTTACAGAAAAAGGCTCAAAAGGGGACAACTAGGGATTTTTTTTTTTGAATTGGGTAGGCTTGGTTTGAGAGGTTAAACAAAGATGGCCTATATCATGTCTAAATGTGTCAAATTAAAACATCATTTTCATGGAGAACA